CCTTCCTTCCTTCCTTCCTTCCTTCCTTCCTTCCTTCCTTCCTTCCTCCCTCCCTTCCTCCCTTCCTCCCTTCCTCCCCTTCCTCCCCTTCCTCCCCTTCCTCCCCTTCCTCCCCTTCCTTCCCTCTTTCTTTTTTTTTTTTGACAGAGTCTTGCTTTGTTGCCCAGGCTGGAGTGCAGTGGTGCGATCTCACCTCACTGCAGCTTCTGTCTCCTGGGTTCCAGTGATTCTCATGGCTCAGCCTCCTGAGTAGCTGGGATTACAGGTGTGAACCACCAAGCCTGGCTAATTTTTGTATTTCTAGTAGAGACAGATGTTTCACCATATTGGCCAGGCTGGGCTCAAACTCCTGAATTCTGCCTGCCTCGGCCTCCCAAAGTGCTGGGATTATAGGCATGAGCTGCCACACCCAGCCAAGAAAAATAATACTCTTAAATATTTAGCTCAGATGTTCACCTAAAGTTGATATTATTTGGTATGGGAATTACTTTTGAACTGTAATCTTTCAGATGATACCACTTTGAAAACAAGTTTTAACAGTAAGGTAAAAATATAGTTATTGAGGGTGTATTCCCCACTTGTGATCTTCTGCCACTTTAGAGACATTCAATTAATAGTTTTCCTAGAGCTTTGCATATTCCCATTCACAGATTTTTTAAATTTCACCTTTATTAGTGGGAAGGATCAGTGCTTACCATTTGGAAAGACAAAGATCAGAAGGCAAATAAATTATTTTCTAGCTTTAAAGGGAAATTAAACTATTCGTGAATAAACTGTTTAAAAATGTGAAGTGTCCTTTTCCTTTTCACAATACAAAAAATTTCAACAGATTGTGATGGTTTGTGCATTTATATCCTGTTAAGCATTAATAGCTAATCACTGACTGGGACTTGCATTCTGACGGCAGATAGTCTCTTGCTTAGTGAGAGAGAGTTAACTGTTTTGTAGTAGGAAGTGAGAACAGCTGATTTTTCATTCCACATTTCATAGCCCACTTTTGGTAGATTACAGCCATGCTTCTTCGCAGAAGCAGTGACATCTTGGGAATGAATGCCTAGCCAGTCCTGGGTTGGTGCAAAGAAGTATAAACACATCACTAGGGAAAAAGAAAGTTTGTCTTCCCCTTCTGACACAGTGTGTGCACTTTAGGCAATTTTTGGAAAATATAAAAAATTCCAAATTCTGCCTTTCAGCAGCATCAATTGCTAGGAACATTTCATTCATTTCCCTATAATATTAATGTTCTTTAAGCATAATCACTAATTATAAGTTGTATCCTATTTTTCTCCAACTTAATTTCTGTGGTTTATTGAAAACCAAGTATAAATGTGACTGCAAAAGCATTTTGCTTTGTTTTTATAGTTACTTTCTTGAGGTTATGGACATTTTATAATGTAACACTTGATTGGCCTGGCCTCTTGACAGTTCCCTTCTAGTTATGCATACCCTCCTATTGCCACATTTGTTTTAAAACTCAGTTTCTTGTTTTCCAGTTGTTCCTATGTATAACACCCATCTTGAAAGAGAGTGTACAGGAAGTTATTCAGATAACTTTTGTAGTAGTGATATTCAACTATGGCAGTACATTAACTCATGTGATGAGCTTAGGAACATAAAAGAATTGTTGCTTGAATAGCACCCCCAGAGATACTGACCTAATTAGTCTGGGGTGGAGACCTGGCATAATAGTTTTTTTCAAGCTCCAATCATTGGCCAGGCAGTTGCTTTACATAGGCTTTTAAATGCCAAAGGAAGATATGAAGTAGATTTAATTAAGACTTTACTTCAACAATACAGGGGAACTTAGAATACTTACTTTTCTTTAAATTGCAGGAGTCACTGTTAGGTATTGCTTAATACAAAAGCTTTGCCTGTCAAGTTAGGATTGCTGGAATACCACTAAAGATTTTTGACTTGTGAATAAATGAGCTTTCAGCGCCAAAATGCGATTTGAGAAATGTTGTGGGCTTCAGTATTAATTGCCATTTTGCTGACACCCAGTGTACCTACCTACCTGAGAAATTCATTTTGTCCATCATGTATTTCTCAAAGCAAAAGGTGGTTTTCAAGTATAATGTCGTTTTCAGCATGCTTATTACTTAGTTTTACGTCATCTCATTTCGTCATCACTGATAACTTGTGGAATAGATACTTATCTCCATCCTATGGAATAGGGGAGACAGGTTTAGACAGGTTCAGTTTGCTCAAGTCTGCACAGCTGTAAGTAGCAGAGAAAGTGGGATCTAGATGGTGTGATCCTAGAGCCCATGCTCCTAACCATTGTAATCTACCATATGAAGGAAATAGCTTGTGTCCTGGTCCAAGTCAAATACTGACTCCTCACAAACAGTAAGTATGGCAATTTTGTGATGCCTTTGATTCCACTTTACAGGGACTACTGTTACTTGTGAAATGTCTTTAAGATTTTTAGTCTTAAATTTTTGAAGACCGCTTTCGTCCTCTATCTCCCAGAGATTTGAGAAGAAATAAACTCCTGCCCATTAACAATCTCAGTCCGTGAACAAAACCAACATCAACATTCCTAAACAAGTGTGTTACTCTAAGAAGGTGGCTCTAGAATTTATGGAAATGGCTTATGTAACCTTCAAGACTGGAGAACAGAATGTGACTGGCCTTTTCTAATGGTCCTTTAAGATTTAATGATTATTTAAAGCAAGTGTTTTTTTTTTTATAATTGACTTTGTGGTCTGAATTCTTGATACTGTTTATAATTCGACAAAGAACTAAAATTGTTATGTACTATAGGCACTTAAGAACCCTGAGGAAAAATAACACAGGTGTGGGTGGGTGTGTGTGAGAGAGAGGGTTACTAACGTGTAAGTTCCAAAAAAAAAAAAAAAAGGGTTGAAATGGTAAGGAATTGGAATATTTTAGAGCAATAAGAATTCCTAATCTTAGTACATGTCTTGTTTCAAGTAGAGGTTTGTTAGGAATTACAATTGTGGGGAGCAAACTTTTTGTGCTATTTTAATCCCAAATGTATATTCTTAATTGTATATAATATGTGGATAAATATATGAGGGTATTAAGCAACTTTGAATTAAATTTAAGGATATATTTCACATGAAAACAAATATAAACTTTTGAGAATCAAAAAGTTTTGCAAAGTATTTTTTTGGGTGCTTTTGTGTACTTTGCCATTGAGCAAATTTTATGAAGTTATTGGGGTATTAAGATTTTCTTTTAAAAGTTAAATGTTTAATCAAGTAAATTCTCATCTCTCCAGGGGAGACATGCTCTTGTACGTTGGGACCCCCATAGAATATCTCAGCTAGAGGAGTTTCCCTATGCATGTTTTAGGAAATTATGGAGATTGTACATTTTGCAATGAAGGAAATGCCTTAAGAGCCTTAATTTTGAATTGGACCAAGTGGTTCCTTTGTAAGACAGGTGGTGAGCAGAATGGGAATTTCAGGGAGAGGAGCATAAGTACTTAAAGGCTCCCAACGTGAATGTTAAGGTGCTAGAAATTTGTGTTCATTATTACAACATTTGCATCCCAAGGTGATGGGGGGGAGATAACAGCTACAATAGGATTTGCATTCAGTAGTTAAGCCTGTCACATCTATGCATTTGTTTGAGGAAATAGTGCAAATGTTTCCAATAAATAATGTCTAAACTACTTAAATATGTAAACAGTTATTTCCATCCAATACTTTGATGTCTAACTCCAAGACAGTACGTTGGAGATACCAACAGCAAATGAGGTTTTACATTTTCATAATGTGTTTCCCATACCACAGTAGTATGGAGATAAGGTGGCTGTAGAACAGTGTTTCCTTTTCTCTTTGCTTTTGTTTTCCTTATGAAGTTTCCCCAGCTTTGACACATTATTTTTCCCTATTTGGTTTGGAGCCTAGATATGATTGAAGCCACCGTGATGCCCTTCCCTGTCCACATTTCCATCTGTCAAACCACTAACCTGAAATGTGTGTCATTCTTGTGTTTCAATGTTTTGCTACATGTAATCAGGTTTATAGTAGATTTTGCATGTTTTAAAATGTCTAGCTTTACCTTCACCTAAAATTTTTTAAGCCCCCAAACTTCCACCTAAGTCCCTTGGGGTCTCTCATGCATTTCATGCACTAATATATCGTTTGCTCCTGTGAGTAGCAGCTTGGACCCATCGTAGTGACTTTCTGTTGCTGCCAGGGCTAGAACTGAAATTAGGACACCGGTCTCTAGCAAAGGCTGCTGAAGCCTGTTGATGATTCCAGCAGTGCTGCCACTGCCTGATGTTAGCACAGGGTCTGCTGATCAGTCTGACACAGATGTAGTTGACATCCGACTGAACATCTCAGCTCTCCTGAATCTCTTGTGGTGGTTTGTTCTAGGACTTAGACATCAAGTCTGGCCAGAAGACAGTTGCTGAGACAAATGTTGCCCTAAAAGCCACTTGCTACATGTGACTGTGGACATAGTCACACATAATTTTAGAAGTAAAATGAGTCTAGGGGAAGAGAGATGAGGTGCATAAGCACATAAATGTGGAATCTTCAGGCTACTTGCACATCCACACTGTGTGTGTGCATGTGCTGCAGGGTGTGTGTGTGTGTGTGTGTGTTGAAATGGAGAAATGACACAAAGTCAAATTTTTTTTGAAAAT